CAGTTGTCAGCCGACCACCCAAGTCGGCTACCCGAAGTCGGCGTCACCAAGTTGACGCCCTGCTACTCGACGCCCAACTGCTCGGCGTCCTGAGTCGAGGTCGATATCAGCCCCTCCTCCGTCGACCACCTGGTCAGGTCGACCACCAGGTCGACATCACGCCTGGTCGACCAACCACCAAGTCGACCAGCAGGTTTGTCAGCCAACCACCAAGTCGGCTTCCCCCAAGTTGGCGTCACCAAGTCGACCTGACTGAAAGGTAAGTCGTGTGCCGTCCACGCTCGCCGCACCATGCGGAGATAACTACTACAACGGGAGCTAGACTACGGGCTAGGCACGGATGCTCGTGTGATCTCTGCGTTCGTTGGTCCTTAGTCGTTTTCCTAGTGCACACACTGCTTGCTGGTTCACGGGGTAATTTGACAAGAGTTTCACTAGAGAAAGTTGACAACAATTGTACAGAGAAGTTGGCATGACAAGACTACATCAGAGCTAGCATTCAGGTCGGTCGAGTGCCAGCACAGCATGGTCGACCGCGTTCTAGCACGACTTGGTCGACCGCGCTCCAGCAGTGCAAAGTCGACGGGGTGCCAACGTCGCAGGTTGACGGTGTGCCAACGCTGCTTCCGCAGAACAGCAACGCACCAGCTTCGCAGGTGCTCGCAGATGATTGGCGTGCAGAGCCTTGTCACCTGCACAGCGCACACACCAAGTCAACCTGGCGCTGACGACTGCATCTGATCAGCCACGTCGACCTCGGGATACCACCACCGAGGTCGGACTCGCCAACTTTGCCTGGGCGACCGTCGCACTCCTCCGCAGAACCTCGTCACCCAGGTAACCTGGTCGACCGGGCAACCATGTCGACCAGCTGCTACCGTATGTGCCCGTCGACCTCCCAAGTCGACGACCACCTCCAGGTCGACCTCACCAGGTCGACCACACCCCTGGTCGACCAGCTCCAGGTCGACGTCACTCCTGGTCGACCAGCTCCACGTCGACTAGCACTCCTGGTCGACCAGCTCTATGTCGACCAGCGCAGTTGTCAGCCGACCACCCAAGTCGGCTACCCGAAGTCGGCGTCATCAAGTTGACGCCCTGCTACTCGACGCCCAACTGCTCGGCGTCCTGAGTCGAGGTCGATATCAGCCCCTCCTCCGTCGACCACCTGGTCAGGTCGACCACCAGGTCGACATCACGCCTGGTCAACCAACCACCAAGTCGACCAGCAGGTTTGTCAGCCAACCACCAAGTCGGCTTCCCCCAAGTTGGCGTCACCAAGTCGACGCTCTCCGCAGGTCGACTTCCCAGGTCGACCTCCCTGAAGTTGGCGCCACCCTGAAGTCGGCGCCCGTGCAGTGGCCCCCGTGCAAGTCGACCTCCTCGTCGACCAGCTCGCCCGTTGCTGCAGGTTGGCTGCTCCCCTCACACCCGACCACGAAATCGGCTCCGCCCAAGCGAGGACGGGGCCAACACACAACTCCCGTTGACAAGCCCTGCCGTTGCCAGCGCCTTCAGCGTCCGCTCCACATCTCGCACGTGCTCCTCTTCACTTTTGCTGAATATCACTACATCATCGATGTAACATGCTGCACACTCCAGCCCCCTCAGTACACTGTCCATTACCCTTTGGAAGATGGCTGACGCGTTCCTCAGCCCGAATGGCATAAACAGCCATTCGTACACTGTCTTCCGCACGTCCTCCTTCCTTATCTTGATCTGGTTAAAGCCCTGTCTCAAATCTAGCGTGCTGAAGATCTCTCTACCACTGTCGGTGTTGCGTACTCCGATTCTGATCTCTGTATGAGTCCTACTTCTAGCGACTCCTTGCACTTTTCCTTGCAGATGTCCTCATCCCCGGGTGTCATTCTCCGCTTCCTTTGAAACACCGGCTCGTCCGTGACCAGCTTCAACTCCATCTCCTTCACTGAGCACTTTCCCAACTCCTGTAAGGTAAACGCAAAGGCATGCCTGTACCTGGCCAGCACCTCCTGCATTGCCTTCTTCCCCTCTTCGCTCATTGCATTCCCCACAACCCATGCTGGTTCTTCCTGAGCTGCCATGCACGCCCATGCCCCCACCTTTTCCACCCCTTCCTTCTTGCTTCGCGGTTTTTGCTCCCCTTCCAGCACCAGCCCTCTCCATATTCACCGCATCAGCCACTGCATGACCTGACCGTCCATAGCCTGTCCTAACGCTTTCCTCCTTTCCTGTTCTGTCACCCCTACTGCTTTTGTCATGTTTTCCCCATACCCCATCGCCAGCTCCCGCTCTAGTGCCGTTGGCTCCTCCCACTTCTTCGTCCCATGATCGTACACCATGCCTTCCCCTGGCATTCCTCCTTCCTCCCTGAACCCTGCTGCCCCCTCGTACCCCACCAATGTTGGCCAGGCCCTGCGTACTGCCCCCACCTTGTTGCATGGGCACTGTGTCTCATGCCTGCCTTTCTTTACCGGCGCCGCTGTCCTGCCTGGCTCTAATATCTCTTGCACCGTCCTACTCCAGTCCCTTCGTATCCCATCCAGCTCCGTCTGCAATTGCTCGTCCGTCACGACGTTTTGCCAATACCTTCTGACACTGTGAGCCCGTGCCCCCAGCCTTGCCGCGTCACACCTCACCCCCTTTCCCAGCTTCCTTGTTACTAACTCTTGGATTTTTCTGACTGGTTCCCGGCAATCCCCTTCCAGGTCCAGGTGCTCCAGCAGGTACACCACCTTCTCCTGCCTTTCCTTGATCCAATCGATGATGCACAGCAGATTGATCAGCTGTGCTCCTCTTGGATCGTCTAACCCCTTCCCCTTCCCTGCTCTTGAGACGGCTTGGCACTCCCACCCTGCTACCAGCAGGTCCACATGCCCCCAGCCCCTCACCACTTCTCATGTTACGTTCCTCACATCTGTCAATGTCCCTGCCATTGCTTTGCTTATCACGGCTTCCTCCGGTAGCTCAAGATGCTCTTTCTGCATCCTCCTTGCATGTTCTTCGGCCATCTTTCTCACTTGTTCGTCTTTCTCCACGTATATCCACTCCCTCACCACTACTCCCGCTCTCAGCACCGCTGCCAGCCCTGCTCCTATTCCTCCGAACAGCTCCACCAGCTTGATTGGTTCCTGCCATGCCTTGGCTACAGCTGCTTCACCCACTAGGCCCGCTCTCCCTCTCCCCTCGCTTCCTGCTTGCTCGGCCGTGTACGCTCTCTTTGGCTCCTGTTTAGTGAATTGCACGGGCAGCTCACCCGTCTTGCTGCCCCGCACCCAATAATGCTTCCGAACTTCACTTTCTCCTTCCATGTGCAGATGGTCATCCCCACGCCCCATATCAGGTCCGTCCCCAGCAGCACGTCGAAGTCTTCCGAGTCTGATATCCCGCATTGTAGCCGTATACTAGTCTGCTCCTCTCTTCCTGGCATCAGGACTATCTCCACTAGGTCCCTTGTACATGATATCCACTTGGGCTCGCCTCCTTCCGCGATCATTACCTGCATTCCTCGCTTTATGTGTTGCCCTGTTTCAGTCTGCCCCAGCTTCCGTGCCAGCCTCTTCCCCAGCATCACGCTCTGTGCTCCCGTGTCTAAGATTGCTGTCTTTGCTATCTCTCCGCCCATTGCCACTGTCCCTGCTTCTGCCACCAGCACGGTCGCCTAACTGGCTAGCCAATCCTTAGGATGCCTCGCTGGCTCCTCTCCTTCCTCACCCTTCTCCCCTGGCCTCTATCTCGGTCTGCCCCTTTCCTTGGTCGTCTGGTCCTTCCTCCCATCCTCGCCCCAGCTGCGCAGGCCCAGCTCTTCTCTGCTGCGGAGCACCATGAAATTATACTCCGGCTCTGGTTCCTCTATCACTTCTGCTTTGTCATCATCTTCCCTGGCATATAACCCTGCCTCCTTCTCCTTTTTCCCACCCATTGCGTGCAGCTGCGCCTGTAGCCTACCTATCTGACCCTCTATGTCCTCTGGAGTCCTCCTCGGCCCCCCTGTGCGTTGGTAACAGTCCTTTCCTTTGTGCCCTTGCTTCCCACAAACCTCGCATGTTGGTGCATCCGGGCAGTCCTTGCGGCGGTGTCCCGGCTTCCCGCAGGTGTCGCAGTTCCTACAATTTCTCATCAGATGCCCCGGCTGCTTGCATTGGTGGCAGGTGCGTGTCTCAGCTCCTCTTTCAGCTCGGCCATCCTCCCTTCCCCCCGTCTCTGGCATTGCTGCTGCTGCCTAGGCGGGATTCCTCTTCTCAGTCGGCCTCGGTAGGTACACCTCATACTTCCGCTGCACCAACTCCACACTCTCTGCTAGCTCAAACACCTCTTCTGGCGTTGCGTCTGCTCCTAATTCGTAGACCCTCATCCTCAGTCCTCCTGCCAGCCCCTTATCTAACCCATTCAAGAACTTGCTGATGATCATGCTGTGGTCCGTGCACACCACGTCCTCCGCCAAATTCATTAATCTCCCATAGTATGTCAGTAACGACTCCTCATCTCTCCGCTTAAACTCCTGAAACTCCTTGATACACGCGGCTGTGTGCCCGGGAAACTGCTTCCTAAGCCGCTCCAAAAACAGCATGGTTGGGTCCTCGCCATCCTCCTCTACCCTCCTCAGCCACTCCCTAATCTTCATGCGGTACAGTGTCTCTGCTTCCCCCCCTAGAGTGTGCGGCAAGCTCAGGAAGAAGTCAATGGGGTCCATCCCACTCCTGTCACACTGGTATTTGACATTGCTTATCTGCATCAAGTAATTCTTGAGGCTTGGACCCGTGCTTTCGCTCCCTGTGAAGCGCACCGGCACCTCCACCCTTGGCGGTGCTGCCGTGCCCCACCTGCCTGTGTCCCAGTTTCCCGAGCCCCCTTGCTCTACAGGCGTGACCCCTCTCTGCTTCCCCCTTTCTCCCTTGCTCCCCGTGCTGGTTCCGTACAACACTCGTTCCAACCCTTCGCGTGCCGCTCTTGCTCCGGCCGATTCTTCTCTGTATTGCCTCCTTGGCCCCACAGGACTTGGGCTCCTCCTCCTATCTTTCTCACGGTTTTCTCTGTGCCCCTCCGTCTATTCCCGTTCCCTCCCCGCAGGTGAACGCTCCTGGTGCCGCCATTCTTGCTCTCTCCTCACCCAACCCTTCTCCTCCGTCCTTGGCCCGTACGGTGACTGCCGGCCCCCATCCCTGCTCCTTCCTTTCTCGTTGTACCTCCGCTCCCGCTCAGGTGGGCTTCTCTGGCGTCGCCCCACATAATCTTCCCTTCCGCTCTGTCGTTCTAGACTCAGCCTCCTCCCTTCGCCCCTCGCCATGCGTCGCTGGCGATTGTACCCTAGCATTGGCTCCGGCGAACGAAATACACCTGGCGCCGCCTTTTGAGTTCTTCCGCCTTCAGCCTGCGCCTTGGACTGATGTTCAGCACCTTGGACCCTCCCTCGCGGCGCACCTTCGTCTCGCCGCCTCGTAGGTGAGCCTTCTTCTGTCTCGCCTCCCTTGTAATCCTCCTGCAGCTTCTTGCCTCGGATCCGCTCATGCTCTCTCTTTCCAGCGCCCCCTTGTTTCCCTTCTCCCTGAGCAGCTGGGAAATTCCCTTCATCAACGTTGCCGCACCTCCCGCCACCCCGCGCAGTGGGGGAACCTTCGTTGTCGTCGTTGACGCGCCTCCCGCCGCCCCGCGCAGTGGGGGAACCTTCGTCGTCGGCGTTGACGCGCCTCCCGCCGCCCCGCGCAGTGGGGGAACCTTCGTCGTCGGCGTTGACGCGCCTTCCGTCGCCCCGCGCAATGGGGGAACCTTCGTCGTCGGCGTAGACGCGCCTCCCGCCGCCCCGCGCAATGGGGGAACCTTCGTCGTCGGCGTTGATGCGCCTCCCGCCGCCCTGCGCAGTGGGGGAACCTTCGTCGTCGGCGTTGACGCGCCTCCCGCCACCCCGCACAGTGGGGGAACCTTCGTCGTCGGCGTAGACGCGCCTCCTGCTGCCCCGCGCAGTGGGGGAACCTTCGTTATCGGCGTTGATGCGCCTCCCGCCGCCCCGCGCAGTGGGGGAACTTTCGTCGTCGGCGTTGACGCGCCTACCGCCGCCCCGCGCATTGGGGGAATCTTCCCCACCTTCGATGTCATGCTCTTCCACTCCTCGCGCAAATGGGGTCTCTTCCCGTTCTTCCTCTTCACCCCGCTCGCTCGCCGAGTCGACGTCCATGTCTTCGTCTTGGTGCCTTTCGTCCCCTCCGCGCTGGCCACCAGCCAGGTGCCACGGATTGCTCGTTGCGGGACGTCTCCAAGGCTCTGATCTGACGCGCAGATCCTCCCCGCTTCCTTCCCGTCGCACGCCCGTTGGTGTCACCGGATCCGCGCGATACGCCGCCCGCCGTGGCGAGCGCGTCGGCGATCTCCCACACTCCTTGGAGCGCCTCATCTGCGACGGAGATCGTTCCCACCGCGAGTACGTCCGCTGCATATGCAGATCGTGGCAATCCATGTCGCCGGTCAATTTCTCTCGTTTGTGAGAGATTCGAGCTCCCACAACTGGCTACCAAGAGTGGCGTCAGTCACCTTGCTACAGTAGCTTAGAATGGTAACATAAGTCCACTATGCACTACTAGGCTAGGCTTACTTATGCTAGGCCACCCAGTCGCGAGATACTCAGCGTGATGGGTTGGGCTCAAGCCGCCTTGGCCTTGGATTGGCCTCGTGCCAGATTTCCTGTCTCCCGAGGACCCTGGAATTGTGCCCGCAGCGCCTTGCAATCCCCCATACTACCAACTTCGCGCTCCTCCCAATGTCCCAACTACCTTGTGTACAAACTGAATGACAATTACTACACTGCTCCTACACCCCAGTTAGCACAGTTACAGAATATAATGCACTTACCATGATGTTAAGTGACAGACAGTTGGGTTGCAGAAGCTGATATCGGCAACGCACGCCGTGCTCTCAAGGACTATCTTCTCAAGCAGGGTGTTTCTCACGCCACCCAACTTTGAGGGGGGGGCGTGTGAGAGTACGACGGCTTATGCTGGCTTTGCTAGCTCACTTAGACTTTCTTATGCTATTACTAGCTTGGGTTTTATTTATCATGCATAGATATGCTTGATTTCCTATGTTAGGTGCATTCCTATATTTTATTATAGTTATAGCACCGAACCAGGTTACGTGTACCGAACTCAAGCCTATTCGATTTCCACCGAATTGCTTTCTACTGAGTTCGGGAAGGTTCTGTTCGGGACGCTTCGCGACCCTCAGAACATTCGCGTAACACCTGGGTAACTGGCCTTGTGTCGAGACTATTTATAGCCTCGTGTTGTACCCAGGTGAATCATTCAATTACAATTCTCTTTCCTGAGCTCGATCCTAGATCCTCACAAGGGTCCCTAAGTTAAAAAGGCTGAAAATCAGTGTTCCTAAAAAAAAAAAAGTCGGAACTCCCAGGGTCTCCAAAAAATGAAGCCTGATTTTCACTCACATAATATCTTGAACATACAGGACGACTTAGCGAATTATATCAGACGCGAGACTTTCACTGGAGATCTTACCCTTGGATAGCGAATCAGGCAGCAGTAGTGGCGAGGATTCTGCCCGAACAGTTTCGTAACCACCTGGAGTCGCACGGTTGAATTTCGCTGTAGTAAGGGAATGTACCCCTTATAGTACATGGCTAGACTAGGACGGCTGGTATCCCCCTGTACTCTTATTTATATTCATGTATTCGCATGTTTTTATCATCTCAAGAATTTTACATTCACTTTGCTATTGAGGTCAAGGGCCCACCACCACTAGTTAGTCCCATGCGAACCTTCCCGAGGTGATCATGAGTCCGATCAACATCTGATCGCAGCATGGCATGAGAGCGACTCGGGAATCCTTCGCACTGCCACCTCCGAAATCTTCGACGAACGGAGAGTGGCGTCCGGAACATGCTCGTGTGTAAGAATGGCCGGAGGATCTGGAGGTCAGACAAATCTGGTGGCTGAAGCGCAAACCAACCTGGCTGCGACAAGCGAGGAAACGACGACGTTTGGAACCGCCGTCCTCACACAACTGCTTCAGCGACTCACAAGCCTGGAGCAAGGACTCCAAACATTGCGGAATGGTGATGCGGGAACATCTTCCCAATTCTCTCAACCCGCCTCGAATGGCCAGAATTCCGCCCTGCACACCTTCTCCCTCGACACAAATGGCTCAACACCCAAGACTCCTCGTCCCAGCGAAGAGGAAATTCTCTCTGCGCATATAAAAAATATAGACAAGTGTGTGCTTTGACGGCAGAGATTTCTATACCTGGAGCTGCTGCTGCAAAACGCGCAGATTTTCCACTATTTCGAGGGGAGCTACTCGAGGCCTACTGACGACACCGACGACACCAGGGCAAAATACAACAACGAGTCCCTGATGGCGTACGGCGTCTTTTTGCGCAATATGTCGTCGGCGGAATAGCTGAACATTCGATCGTACAAGACTACGCCTGCTCCGGCCCTCGACGCTTGGCGCCACCTAAATGGGGTCTATCAACCGAAGGACTCGGTTTCTTCGAGCCGCCTGCTCCAGCAGCCACTGGAGACAAAATTGGCCACTAGGGAGAAGGTCAACGGCTACATCAATCGCTGTCGGAGCCTGTCAGAATGTTGTAGTTGTCTAGCCTGTAGTGGGGTACTCTATAGCGAGTACAACCCAATTTAGGGTTTCCTATATGTACTCAACTGCTTGCTAGTGCAATCCCCCTTTCCTATTTCTACTTTCTGCCTACTATCTTTGACATGCTATCAGAGCAGGTCGACCCTCTCGGGTCGATCCTGTGGATGGGCCCACCTACGTCTTCCACTGCTGTCCTTCCTATCGCGCGCCTCGGGCGCGCGACCTTTCCTGCCTGCCGCGCGCTCGGGGTGCGCGGCATTTTTTCTTCCCGCCGTGCGCTCGGGGCGCGCGGCGGTTTTCTGCCCGTCGCGCCGCCCTGCTCGTCGCGCGACGCCCTGCCCTGCCCGTCGCGGCGCCCCCGGGGACCCGCGCACTGCTTTTCGTCGCCCGTCGCGGCGCCCCCAGGGACCCGCGCGCCGCCCCCCCCCCCCCCCCCCCTCCCGTCGCCTCGTTGCGGCGCCCTGGGGGCCCGCGCGTCGCTCCCTACCGTCGCCTTGTCAGACGCCCTGGGGGCCCGCACGCCGTCCCCTCCCGTCGCCTCGTCGCGGCACCTTGGGGGCCCGCGCGCTGCCTCTCCCGTCGCCTCGTCGCGGCGCCTTGGGGGCCCGCGCGTCGCCCCCTCCCGTCGCCTCCTCGCGGCGCCCTGGGGGCCCGTGCGTCGCCCCCTTCCGTCGCCCATCGAGGCGCCCTCGGGGGCCCGCGCGTGGCCCCCCTCCCGTCACCCGCCGTGGCGCCCTCGGGGGGCCCGCGCGTTGCCCCCCTGCAGCTCGCGAGCCGCCCCTCCAGCCCGCGAGCCGCCCCACCAGCCCGCGAGCCGCCCTTGCAGCCCGCGCGTGCTGCCCTGTGGAGCCGCGCACCGCTCCCTGCCCTCGTGCAACTGCGCGGTGCCGATTCTGGGGGTGGTGGGTGTGTGTTCATCGCCACTCGCTCCTCCTCCTCCTCCGTCTCCCACTACTGCAGCTGCCGCTGAGGGGGGTGGATGTGTGGGAGCCGGAGGAGTGGCGCTAAAGGGGTGCCGTGGGAGTGGAGTTAGGGGTGCAGCAGTGGGTGTGTGAAAGGGGTGTAGGACAGCTAGGGGAGGTTGAGTGGAGGCAGCCGTCTTGTCATCCGCAGCGCCAGTAGTCCGGAGGCTACAATCTCCGGTAGTCGCCAGTCGCCCGTGGGTCAGTTGCTCTAGCTGCTTGGTGTAGCCGTGGAGCCAGTTACTCCTGAAGTCCGGGCCTTTGCTTCGGTAGCCACTGAGCCAGCCGCTACAGTGTGTCTGCAGCTTCAGCCGTCGCCTCCCATCTTCTCGCCCCCATAGTCTCTCCTCCTCCTCACTTGCCCTCTGTGATAGCCTCTAGCTTTGCTTATCATCGTGAAATATCGCTCTGCCTACTTGTTGTGCTGATTACACCCTACTTTGACTATGGGGGTGTGTCATAATGTTGTATTTGTCTAGCCTGCAGTGGGGTACTCTATAGTGAGTACAGCCCAATTTAGGGTTTCCTATATGTACTCAACTGCTTGCTAGTGCAACCCCCCTTTCCTGTTTCTACTTTATGCCTACTATCTTTGACAGAGCCTCCGCGATCAAATCGCGTAATTGGGAAGCAACATTTCCGAAGAAATCTTCGTGAACATCGTGCTTCAAGGGCTCGGCCCAGAATGGCGGCCCTGCAAGGCGCTACTCCGACAGCAGGGGGTCATCTCGGAGGCCGCCCTTTGCGCCGCCCTCCTCGTCGAACCAAGGGATATGGATCAGCAGCGACCAGCGCCGCGACGAGAGGAACGCCTCACTTTCTACGCCGACAACGCGGAAGAGCGACGGCCGCGGCGCCTCTACTGCAAGATTTGCAGAAACTTCGGGCACTTGGCAAATCGATGCAAATCCCGATCTCGCCCTCGCCAGACCAATCCGAGCAACTAGTCCGGCCGCCAAGACGCACGAAATGACTCGCATCCAGCCCAGGGGTATCAACCCCCATCGCGCAACCCCCAGTCCAGCACCAGAAGCAGTAGCTGTCATAAACTGCTCCGGTCCGCAACGTCATGGGTAACATGGCAATGGCGAGTGGATCTCGTCGTCCGCGCGCGCACTTACCATCACCTGAGCCGGCGGCTCACCCAATCGAAGCGTTCTCGAACAACAACCCGTTCAGCACGCGTCACGATTTCAGTGACGACGACAAACAAGACTGGAATCTCCCAGTCCCGCTGCTAGAAAGCCCCCCGCACGTACCTGATATGCGGCCGGCGCCGATCGACTAGATCGCGCGCGAACAATTTCTGAAGGTTGACACACCGCACATCGTTATGCCACGACTGGCGCTGTTCGCGCGTAACGACAACAGGCGCTACAACACGTGGTAACTGGATAGCTGCTGTGGACAGCACATGGTGGGCTCCGAGAGTTACATATCCAACGCCGTTGCCACCCCCGCCGTCACCTACGTCACCGTGGCGAGCAACATGCGCCTTCGCACAAGCGCGCAAGGCATTGTTGTACCCAAGGCCCGAGGGAGCAGAACGCACATCACGCTGAACGACAGGTTGATCGTTCAGAACCTACGCTTCAATCTCCTCTCGGCGGCGCAACTCATGGATTGCGGAGTTGACCTCAGCACTGACCCCGAGACGCGCGACATCCTGCTCCACTTTATGATCCCGAACAAGACGCGCAAGCAGATCGGACGAGCGCACGCCGAGAACGGAGTCTACGTCCTAGATTTTAACATTCCCGACTACAGCGGCGACTCGCAGGAACTCATAGACCTCGTTCCCCTGCGTTTCGAGCATATCCATCGCCGTGATTGGAAGCATCCTGATGGACGCCCATGGGTGCCG